ATAGGGCATTTTGTTTGTATTTACAGTTTTGTTTTCACTTTCATTTTTCTCTTTAAGTAGGTATATATAAAGACACAATTTATCATAATCATTCGCCGGGACATTACCTATTGTCGAGGCACTACTTGGCAGAATGAGAACACTTGCAGTACCCTGCATTCTTTATATTGTATTACCCTCACCGTCAACATTTACACTTCTGATTCATTAGAAATTGACCTATATAATTGGAACTTGTCAAAAAAAAAAAAAAAAGAAATGCGATGGTATAAGTTATTAAGACTTGGAAGACGAGATAGAAGTGTAGGTCAAAAAAAAAAAAAATGGTCGTTCATCGTCAATCGCTCATCAAGAGGTTAGAATGCAGTGTGTGCGTGTGTATATGAAGAATATAAATGTCAATTGATTTCTGGAGGTATATATAAGGTAGGTACTGAAAAACTTTTTTACTACTGACATGTTGTTTAGTGTTTGTTGCCCAGGAACACCAAAATTGCATTAAGTGTATCGATTTTTTTCTGATAACTATCAAGAATGGTGGTGGATGCAATATGTAATATATTATAGTTATTGCCTTATTGGTTGCAATTCTGAATAATTTAATCACGTCGTTAAGTTCATAAATATAGATGTGATTAACAATAAAAAAATAACATTTCGAAGTGTATTTTAAAAATACTTTGACAATAAAAATATTGTCACCGCCTTTATAATTTTAAAAATATTAAAATAATTTTAATTTAATTAATATTATCTCATAATATTATATTAATTAGTGTATTATATTATGATATATGCAGTATAAATATCTAAAATATTTTAACATCTTATATTTAAATAATACTATATATGTCCATTGTCCATCCTTTATCATTTAAAAATGCTTTTGATATATTTGTTTTAATTTTTTTTTCATGTAAAACACATTAAATTGGTTTTATGAAATGTTATTATAGAAACGCATAAATCCGCATGATTAATAAAAAAAGCTTTAAAATGATTATTAAATTAAATTATGTATTGCACATTTAAACAACGATGAATAATACATACAAATATATAATTTGATYTATTAAGCCATTTTAAGCTCAACGCACGTGTGTCCAGAATATACATCATTGAGGGATGAGAGGACTAATAAAAATAATTAATATGCAATAGGTACCACAAGGCACAAGGCGTAAGCTACGCATTATTTAAAAAAAATCAATTGTTTAAATTACACGTGTAGTTCAATTTACTATTGAAAACAATTATTCTAAAAATTCGTTAATTTTATGATTTAAATATTGTGTGAAGCAGGAAGTGAGAACAAAAACAGATCAAGGACTTTTATGCATTTGCATATTAGTTTTTCGTTTGATCTTATTGTATGCTAAATAGTAAATAYTGAGTAAGTACATAATACAATTATTATTAACAACGTCGATGAAATAATYAATATTTTTAGTACATATTTTGTCATTTTTATATACATTTTAGACATTTAGGACATACATTTCTGATTYAAAGGTATACTTTGATGTTTTAATGCATAACCTAACCTATGTTGATAGTTTGTTAAAAATTACGTATATATTTAAGTAAATATTTTGCTTGAGTCTAAGTTAACAATTTTTTTTGATTAAATTGTTCGTTTGCCGTAAGGTCGATCGAGACCAAATATTTATGATCAATATCTTGGTATTTAAGATGTAAGTATAGACTGTACGCAAACTTTATCTACTAATTATATTATTATATATTATACCTATCTAAGTACAGGTGTTTTTATTATAGGTCACGAGAGGGTAATTCGTGGCAACCATGGATTGTGTTTTTTTTCAACGCACCCATTTGAGAATTGTTTATTTAWAAGTGTATGTTTTTAATTGAATATTTAATAGTTTTTTAGCTTATGAAAATCCTTCCTCTAGAACCATACTTAGGATTTAGGTTCTCTACTTCTCTGTAGATAATAATATAAGATTTAACAACAATAAATTATAATACACTGATTTTAATTAGGTAGGTTAAGTTAAATATGCGGCGGTACCTTTACATACCTAATGCTGTTATTGCAGTAGTAGTTACTAATTAGCGAGTACTCACTACTCATTGCTGTACCACACACTCCAAAGTATATATAAATTGATAAAAATCAAGTCCCTAATTCCCTATATAATCAATTTATAACTAGTTCTAAGGGCATTGACTAATGTTCGATTTCTACAAAATTAATGTAACACGAATGTATAACGAAATAACAATATAATATCCAACTAAAGCGTTATAAACAAAAAACAAAAATGTTTACACTACTTCCATCAATGCAGAAATACGAAGGGCATAAAGAAGACCTTCACACGAAGACACAACAWTTACGATTTTTCTAACACTTATCGCTGGTACTGCGATATCTTGATTTATTTAATAATTATTAAAATTCAATTTGAGATACCCATTATCGTGTCTCGTGCTCTACTAACTATAGTAACTAGCTCTGCAAATTTTTCGTCATTTAGTAGGTCATACTGTAATAAATATACTCAATTTGAATTCAACGATAAATCATTGCACGTGAAAAATGATTTCGAGCATTGTATCATCCTTTTATTTTACACATAATATGTTATTATTATAATTTATTTAATAGATATATACTATTAGTTTAACTTTTATTATAACTATTTATACATTTTTGTATTAMAAGTATGGTATTCACTATTCAGAACTAATATTTACTAAAATATGTGCATACACTATAAATATATTATAAAATAATTTATGGTTATGTAGTTTGTAGTTATCATAATATTATATCAAATTACTTTTAATTCAATACYACGACTATCTATAGTAGAGTAGTAGAGTGTTAGAAGTAAATGTTCGTATACTCATTGTATAAAAACTTAAAGTTGATAAAAATATTTTAGATACATTATTAGATTTAATACTTTAGAAATAATATTTATAATTTATAAAACATAATAATAAACATAATGGTGACAAGTTAGAGCTTATAACTCATTTAGCTATAATATATTCACACAGAAATCAGAATATAAAAAAATATTATATTTAATTAAAAAATAATAATATTTCCAAATGCTTTTACTAAAATACTTAGTACCTGCTAACATAACTAATAAATAAGTATAGAGATTATGTGAGTAAATAGATATTTTTAGTGATAAATTAATAATTATTAACTTTCTAGGCATAGTTTCTACRTACGTTAACTTATTGATTATTAAGTTATATATTAATTGGAAATAATCTATATCCGAAACGTTTAATTTATTAGTAATAAGACCTACCTAATAAKTTACCATCATATACTATACCTAAACTAAATTTTACATATTATTTTATAATGCACTTTGCACATAGCAATTTAGCTCTAAGCTATTAGTTGTTTTTAAATGTTTTATGAAGTTTAAATTTAAACTTCATACATATGAAAACAAAGTTAAAAAATAAACAACCAACAAAACTTTTATTATGATTGTATTTTATTAATAACAAAGCATAGTTAGTGTTTCATTTTAAGAGATTATTTCTAAGTCGACATAATAATTTATAGGTAGTTTATATTMATTTAAATTACCATACCTACTTATAAACACTTTAAAATGGGCTGCAGTATGCATTATGCATAATGTTCAATACTATTCAGTACTCAGATATATTTTATGTAGAAAGAAAACATTTTTGTTAGGTATTAAAAATAACATTAAAAACTATTTTATTTTAGTTTAGGTTATATAATATAATCTATATACTGTGTGACATATGACAGATAAATTAAAAAATAATATTKAAAAAGCGGGTGACGCTCTGCTGTAGGCACAGTAGGTTACAACTTACAAATGGATCACTGTAATGGATGCTATAAATTTCAATTCAATGATAYAATATCATCGTTTGTAAATTATGAAAAACTATTTTTACTTTTTGATCTAATATCGTTACTCTTGAATATTTAATATGAGATTTCATCCAAATCTGAACTTAAGATAGCTATAAAAAAAAAGCCGTGTTAATATATTTTTTGGTTACGGAATTAACTACTTACGTGCAAACTTGTAATAAATTTTCTCAATCTTAAGA